TATATATATATATATATATATATATATATAATGGCAAAAAATCAGATTTTAAGTTTATTAGACTCAAAAAATGAGGCAGAGCTTCATAATCCATTCCAAGGGTGTGTAAAATAACATAGGCAAAGATCGAAGTTATTACAAAGGAGACAAAAATTTCATGCTAATATTGTGCAATACCGCCTTTGAAAAGAAGCTGGTAAGCATGCTGTAGTTATGTACTAAAAAACATGTGGGAAGCTCTGCACAATAACTACTGCAAACAGTGTTGGTTGCAATGAAAGAGAGGGGTGGGAATGCAGGTATTTTTGAGAATTGAAAGTGGCGGGGCACAATGTAAAAATCTTTATGAGCTAGATCCATGCAGCAGTATCTAAAAGTGTGAAAGCGCCTAAAAAGAAACTATAATAATCGTTTACAACTCCCACATCCATATGTAGAATGTGGTGGCATTTGGAGAAAGGGAAATACCTCTTAATACATTTGAGGCAAATCCGCGATTCTAACCCTAGGTTGGGGACCACAACAATTTCAAGATGCCATAAAATAAGACCATAAGCTTTGCAATTAGTCAAAAGCCATTAGCTTTAATCATAACCAATCGTTTAAAGGTATGACAGTCTTTGACTGATTATATACATATTGATTTTTTAATTATTTATTTATCAGTAGTGCTGAGATGAATTTCGTAACATGAATTGCTGCGTCGCACGTAGCGTTACAGCACCTTAACCAAGAGGCCTTGTGCCAAGATTGTCCGCCCAGCGAACCATTTGCGTCGCGGCAGTAAAGATATGAAGTTATCTGTCAGGGATAATCGGCGTTAAAATGTATATCCGTTTGAAATAAGGGGATTAATCACAGAGGCTACAAGAAGAATTTACGCTACGAAAAGTTGGCATATAATTAGAAAAAGGTGTCTACCTGCAATTTCATTCAAACGAAGTGTCTGGAGCTCTAATGTTATCGGACTCGCCCACATATCACACAAAAAGCGTACGTTACTACCATAAAATGAGGACATAAGGCGCTATAAACAACTCGTTTACATAGCTTTCGAACTATCACGGAAAGGAGTTGTTCGAAGCGAATCCGGAGACGAGGCTTACTTTGTCCTATCTCAGTTTAGGTGTGACGAGCAACCTCACAATGCAGCTCTTCAAAACAATCAGAAATAGAACTATCTACGCTAAAATTCTCTCAATACAGGGAATACAGCATTGTGTTCAGCGTGTATAGCAACCTTATGCGCAGTTGTTGGCATATCCGCACACATGAAATGGATAAATATGAATGAACGTTGATTCTGACGTTCTCATATCTTGAGCATCATTTGAAGATTTTTAACTACAATGATTTCGCAACCATTTGCGTTTATTCCAGGAATAGCCTCCAAGCTGAAAGAACAGTAGCTCAGATTTCACAACTGTTTAACTCCCACATTCTAAATTCAAACAACTGCAGACTAGGTTCGTAAAATCAAGATCTATGTCGTTTTGACCGCTTCCATCGCATACTAATTACAGATACTGGCTCCATTTCGCATCTCATCCAGCTAAGTCGGATGAGCAGCAATAACGAAAATAGTAGCAATAATAACTACATCCAACTCAACAGTGACGATAATGTGCAGCCAACTACTGTGACTGTAACAACTTTCAACGCAAACCGCCAAGAATGTGCCGAAGAGATTGTTGATGTGGACGATTCACTTGTCACTACTCAGACCCCCAATGTTCCCACTACTGAGCAAATTCTTCTGCTAATGCTAACAGGTAATGATAATACAAATTACGCCCAGTAATAGCAGGCAGTTCTTAGGCCATAAACCACTTTGCATTTTTTTGGCAGAATTAGGCGTGAATTTTAGAACCTGTCTCGTTCTGGAATGAAATGCATAAATTTGGGCTTTTGGATGAGCTTGTAGAACAACTGACACAATGCTTGTTGGACATCAAAAAGGCTGCAAAAAACGGCGGTCTCGCTTGGGGTAAGGCTTCTCCTTATTGAGAAGTTTGTGTACATACTACAAATGTGGTCTTCTGTATGCTTCTTTCACTAATGACTGTATATGTTTCAGCCGCACCTGTGCTTACTCGCGTAGTTTCCGTGCTTGACATGAGTGATCGAATTGCCAACTGTATACATGCAAAACCATGTGAAAGGCTACCTAATAGAATGTTGTCAATGCCACGTATCATAGCTGGTATGATATCTCATTCGTCATTGACTGTTTTCAACAATCAAGCTATCCAGATGGCTCATCAGCAGGAGAGAATACGCAAAAGCGGGTTATGGACGAAACGTTGCAGTTATTTCTGCCTCACTGCTTCCCCGTTGTGAAAAAGCCTCGATTCCAAAATACCTCTAACACTGTTTCATATCCAGAGGTGAATCAGTCCTAATGCTATTGTGCCACAAGTTCCTCCACTTATTTGACTGTAAAACTTCGAATATAAAATGCGGAATTTTGAGTGGCCTGAGACAAAACATAACACTTACAGAGTATGGATCCTCAGGTTGTTCGAGCGGTTGTCAGCGGTGAAAGTCGCATGACTCAAGATCAAGGAATTTTCGTGCCAACCGATATCTCCTGCATGAGCGGGCCTCTCCTTAGTTCAAAGTTTGCATAGTCTATCATTTGTAAGATTAGTCACATCGCACTTCACAATATTGTTTCTAATGCTCTTCACAAATACAATGTAGGCGTACGGACATGTCTTCGTACTGCATATGTTGTTAGATTTATGATGAGCCATGTAACGTACTTGATTTATCGTTCGCTTAATTTGTTATCAAAATGTTCATCTGTAGTTGAGAGCAGTTATCTAAATTATTTTTCTATTTCTAGAGAACCTCAGGCAAGTGCTTAACAACAGCTTTAATAACTCTCCAGCCCACTTGTCTTATCTTCAGCATACGGGAAATAGTTCTTTCTAATCACTTTCACTTCCCATGTAAGCAGCATTTCTCCATTTTGTTACTAATTCCAGTTAGCTAGATTTTATTAGCGTCTTATGACAATGCATTTTATGTATCGAATATGTAATGTACAGACATAAAGGAGTAAACTTCCTCTATTTACTAGTACTTGTACAATCCAGTTCACTTTGAAAGAACTATAATATATGACTAAAATGCCCGAAATTTCGAAGGAACAAGACTTATTTCATAATGTTGCAAGTTGCTTAAGAGTTAGTAACCAATAAGAGAATCTGTCGAATAAAGTTGGTTTTGGTGTACCTTCTAGAAATCCAAGACTAATTCCAATTGCAGCATGCCTAAAGTGATCTAATTGTGCTGTGTCGCAATGTCGCGAGAACAGATACCAAAGGATGGAAGAAATAAAATGTTCAGGGCCACTTCTAATGATCTTTTCTCAAATTAAACTGCTCTAGAGGCTTGGTGAGCAACACTTTCTTAGACTACAAATAGAAATTGTTATGAATACATGAAAACCACTCGATTTTATCTGGAGGTGGAAAGAATGGGACTTTTAAGGCAAGCCCCTAAAAATGCAACAAAGTGACGAGTGCAAATTCTCTTTCTTACCTTTCTAAAGAGGTGACCCAAAACAATTAAACACTCAACAACATAGTTGCCATTTTACCACTACCTCCTGTCTATTTGGATTTTGTGACCACTACCTCCCTACAATAACGATGCTAACGAGAAAGAAAAATTAGGGCTTTAATGAGTCTGCGTGTCTCCATCCTGTCACAATTGATGAGATAAAGAGCAGTTAGGGGTTCTGAAGATATTACCTTTACCAGTTAATCAACATTACTATGGAAAATTGCTTAGTTGAACACTAATTGACTACAAACATAAATTCGCTTTTTTAAATAATATCTTTCGCTTGATTGGTATATTCAGAATGCTTGTGTATAGTTTTTGGTAACTCTGCTAACTAACACCGAACTCCTCGTACTAATTGTAAACATTTATTAGAAAACAATTGAGCACAGAAAAGATCATCCAGGAAGATATTACGGGAATGTTCAGTAAATTTTCAGCCTACCCCCATACAATTTTTGAGACGATGTGTAAGGGGTGGAAAAAGTACTGCCCACCCATGTTGTATAGAATAATGATAAGATATCTCAACTTTCTTTACGTAGAAATGGTTACATTAGTGTTAATCAAACATTTCAATACATAAAGGTTGCTAGTAGTGGCTTCCAAAGACGGCGCCTCATCCACAGCGCTATTGAGGTTTATAGGGCTTTACATTGCTGAGTATAGTCATAACTTCATTTGAAGAAATGGCGTATTTCTTTTTGCCGTAAACGAATTATCCTGCAAAATAAATACATTGTATCCAACAATATTTAAATATACAACATTACAACTTCTCATTTCATTGTTACAACGGAAATGCAAGCTGTGTTGAAGGGCAGAATGTTAAGCGCACTTCATTTCTTACTTTTACTCCCTTCTTTCATTTTCGGATTGCTTCGAGCTCACAGTGGGTTTGCCTGTTGAAATTTGGAAAGGAATTATCAAATGTTCGTTAATATAAGCACTTCCTTGAAGTTGGGCGCAGTTCGCTCCGGTTGCCCAAAGATGATCCACATCCTATGACCACAGAATAACTTAGCGTTTATACTAGAACCTAAGAACTCCCGATCGGAGTCAGCCATGAAACACTGATACGAAGTGATGGCATCTTCCAGAAAAGGAAAGTTATTGCTCCAATCTTTGCATGCTCGCGTCCCTAAGCATACGTCTCTTGCTAAGAAATAAATTTCCGGCATCTTGGTAAGTCTTGCGAATTGGCAGCATTGTGTACAACTAATGGAATCTATCTCGGCGTATGTAGTGAGCCGGCGATGAAAATGATGAAGTTTCATGTAAATAAGCGCGTAAGCCAGGTGCCATGGATACATGTAGCTAACAAAGGAAACCTTTTTACTCGAGCGGCCATTCATAACGAGGTATTTTTCAAAAAATCCCTTCAACAAAGGCTATCTCAAATCTCCCTCCAATATCTGCTAAATGCACTCTAAGAGAAGTATTTCTGTGTATGACGGAACCATGGCGCACGATAAGTGGCTTGATTTGTAGATATTCCATGCTGGTCCAACTCTAGTCGTCGGCATTCTTCTGCATTTTTACCAGATACATTCAAAAACCATTTGGCAGATATGGAGAAGAATTTTGAAATAGCCTATTCCAGAACGCTTTTGTTACTTTTCTAATGTCTCTGTTGTTGAATATCGGCCGTCATTACATATTCATCATTTCCACATTTGTATTAGACTATCGCATAAGTTTCCCACCACTTTTTCTATTTTTCCAAATTATTTCTTTTTCTTTAGTACATTCAGCAGTATAAACATATACCAGCTAACATTATCGACGGCACATTGCTACGCCTTACCATATGCTTATCCGCAAATGCGGAAACAATTTCTGCCTTGAAAGGTTTACTCCATTGCATGTATGCTTTTTTTGCCGCATCGCTTACGCTGCTCTCCTTCTGCATTTTACAAGCCAGGAGCAGTTGTACATGCACGGGGTCAGAAACCAGCCAAATACGTAGCGAAGTGGCAGTTCAAATTTCGTATATTTGACCCAATACGCAATACATACATAAAAAAGAATGGAATAGAGGAATACAAAAAAAATCGCAGCAGCCTCAATAGATTCGGCACCACTTTTAACGCGCAAATATATAATTAGAAAAGGAAACAAATTAGGAAATGAAATGGTGAACTGTGACAGCCACCCCACCTATCTTCATACAAGGTACCAGAAAAATTTCTCAACTTTTGGTTTGTTTAAATCCACAGCATACTATTTCGAACAGCAGAAAAAAACAAGAAATATTCAATTGTATAGCACTCACGCACTAAAGCGTAAAAGTGTTTTTTATACTTATGGAATAAAATGAATTAAAGACGTAGACCACGAGACTAAGACTATAAATCACAAATAACACACATGATTTTTTGTTGAAAACATCAAAAACAGATTGAATCGAGTACGAAAATGAAGAAGTGAAAGCAAAAAATTAATGGAAAACTGCATTCAAGAGAAGATGGAAGTGTCCTAACATCAAAACAAATCCTCGTCAAAAAGCGACATAGGCGTATTTTTTCCAGCTCACAACCCTTTTCCTGGGAGGGGGAGGGGGGTGGGGGAAGGTCGTCAATTACATGATGTAGGTTCAACACTATGTGACCAACCACAACATATTTCGTGCTCTAGACATGGTACCTGAGAGGCCGCCTAATATCTCCTCGCAGTATTGTTCCTTCTCTAACATGATGGCAGGCTGCTGGCATTTGCGGCATCCTCTCGAGCAGCGATCCATCTGACGTCGCGAACTGAGCAGCGGATACAAAATCTCAGCTAAGTTGGGCACTATGGGGTTAACGAACGTGTACGGTGTTACAAATTGGCTCACAGGGAATATAGCGAGCAGGAAATTTTGCCAGGAGGTGTCACACAGCTTTACGTCGCTACTCTGCTGGCACCTAGGCGTCACCATATCCGTAATTAGTTGGAAGCGGGAGTTTCTGACATGCGGGGCAGTTCCTACCAGCCCTGCCAACCAATTTAGGCGGACGGCCGATGCTGAGCTTTTTCTCACCTACTCATGCCTCTTACCCAAAAAAAGGATGAAAGGTACAAAACACGATCAACACTGAGCGAGATACATACACTTTGATAGCTTTTCGTCAGAGCAAATTCATTGCTATGAACGTACCAAACGGTTGGGCGAGCACTCCATTGCTTACGGATCCTATCAATTCGTTTCACTTCTCTGCGGA